CGGGCGCTCCTTGAGCTTGAGCACCAGCTGCGTGGGCGGCCCGGCCGGCGGGCCCGGCGAGGCGCGCTCGGCGCCCGGCGCGCCCTCGGTCTCTGGCCTGCGCGGCGGCCGCTTGGCCGTGGAGGCGGCGGCGGCCGCGGCGGCGTCGCGGCGCCGCTGCTCCTGCTCGGCGCTGAAGCGCTCCTGCGCGCTGGTCAGGTAGTAGCCTATCATCTCCTCGTGGAACTGGTGCCGGTGGCTGGTGAGCAGCAGGCCGGCGAAGATGAACTTGCGCTCGCCCTGCATGGCGGCGCGCAGGATGTTGAGGCTCAGCTTCACGTCCGTGCTGTACTTCCAGGCGTCGCCCCGCGGCCCGCCGCCCTTTTCGGCCGGCGACGCCCCGGCCGCCTTGTCCGTGGGCGACGGCGTGGTCTTCTCCGACGGCGACGTGCTCGCTGACGCGCCCGACTCTTCCTTGCTGCCCTTGCGCGACTTGGTCTTCTTCTCCTTGCCGCGCTCGGGTGCGTCGCCGTTCTTGCCGTTGGCGGAGTTAGCACGGCCCATCTTGCCGTGCACCAGGCCGCCCAGGCCGCCCATGTTTTTCTTTAGCTTGATGCCCAGCGTCTTGCTGAAGCTGCCCAGCTTGTTGGCCACAGAGTCCGCGCGGGTCTTGTCCTTCTCCTTGCGCTGCTTCTCCTTCTCCTTGTCCTTGCCGTTCTTGCCATTATTGCTGTTGGAATTGCTGCACACCGAGTCCCGGTCCGAGTCCAGGGAGTCGGCCAGGGACTGCACGTCCTCTCCCACTGAGGCTGTTGGGGATTCCGGTTGTGCCAGAGGGGCCTGTAGCGGGAAAGGGAGGTCAGGGAAGGAAGGAGGTTAGAGATGAGTCGTCCCCACGTGGGACCAACAAAGGCAGACCACCCCAGCTCCCAGGCTGCTATACTGGGGCCCTGGGGTCTCACTGCCCCAATCCAGGATGCCTTTTTGGTGAGCTAAGGTTGCTGGCAGCCTGGAACCCGGAGGCGGGGAGCTTGGGCAAGGTGCAGATACCCACCTGGCTCTGAGCTCCAGAGCCTCTGTACATTTTAGACTTAACCATGCCCAGACTCCAACCTTCTAACCCGGGCTAGGCGGGTCTATGACCAGACACAGGTCCCGGCTGGCCTCTAGAGCGAGAGGCCTTCTGGTAAGGGTCACACTTCACCTGCATCTGTAGGTGTCTGTCCTACAAAGGTGTCTCACCTATTTGTTCCAGGCAGGGGACAGACATCTTGCCCTCACGTTGCAACAAAAATACTCTTAGTTCTGGGGATGACCATTTTACTCTAGGGGTTCCTTTCTCAGATTGACAGTGGGAGTGTTAAACTGAGGATTCTGAAATAGGACCTGGACTTAGCAGAAAAGATGTTACCATTCCCAGAAAAAGGGGACCTAGGGTGTGAGGAGGGAACTTCTCTGTGAACACCTTGGACAAGGCCCACTATCAGCCAGTAAGGAGGGCAAGGCCAGTGTGGAACGTGGTCAGGACCGTGGGGTAGGTGGAGAGCCTGAGAAAGGCGACGAGTGGAACCTACTGCTGCCTTGTGGAGGTTCCTGCTTGAGGGAGAATTCAGACAGCATCATTGGGTGAACACCAGGGACCTCATACTAGAAGCCGAGTGACAGGAACTGGTGCTCACCCCTAAATGGGCTTTTCCTGGCCTCTAGGGGAAGAGCCTGGGAGAAGGCCCCATTGTTCTGTCATTTTATTTTTGTCCCTTCCCTCCCCAGGCAGGTCCAGGAGAGGGGTCCAAGAGAGGGGTCCAAGAGACCTCTTGCAGCCAAGTCCCCAGAAGCAAGCAGAAGCCAGCCCTCACCACCTACCAATCTGAAATTCCTTCCTTCCTCTTCCCACCCTGTCCTGGGTCTGGAAGGAGGTAGAGGTCTCAAAATGGTTTGTCAATGACACTGAGGGGCAGAAGCTCAGGGGTTTGGCCCAGGAAAGGGGGGTGTGCTTGGTGCTGGCAGTGCCCATTGGTGGGAGCCCAGTGAGTAAGGAGCCCTGGCTGAAATGTCCTCGGGCTGGAAGGGTCGTTGCCAGGCCCTGAATCTGACATGGGGGCCACCATGGCTTGGCAAGGAGTCCTGCTCAGTGCAGTGGAGAGCTGTGTCCCAGCCCAAGAGCCTCCTGATTCTAGATGGAGAGCTGCTACCTTCACACCATGTGTGTGTGCTAGGAAAGAACACCCCAGCAACACTGGCATCATCCAGGCAGTTGACAGGTCACTGTGGAGGTTAAAAGGCAGAACTCTGGAGCCAGGCTGCCACCAACTGCCCCTTGTGTCCTCAGTAAAATGGGATATCAGTACCTGCCCCCAGGAGCCCTATGAAGATTAAATACAGGTAAAGGCTGGTGTATGAAAACATCCTGAGCAGTGCCTGGCATAGCCCCGCGACTGACTCGGCCAGGCACCGCGCTACTGCCTTCCTCCGGTCACTCCTTTGATATTGCTTATGAGCCCCATGGCATGGCCAATGGCCAAGGCTACTGGTGTCTGAGGGGGGCTTTTTGTTTTTACAGTCCCTTTCACTGAGGGTTCACTATTGAGATAAAAACATCAATCACTTAAAGTGAATCCTTAGCATCCGGAAGCAGGGACAGAGCTGACTCTCCCTGGGAGGGGAGGGGGCGCGTGGGGGCGGGCAGCCCCTGTTCTCACCGCCCTCCCAGAGGACGAGGAGGAGGAGAGAAGGAGGGGGCGATGAGGAATTGCGCTCCCGGTTCCCTGACTTTTCCAAGGACCCACACAGTTTATAATTAATTCGCTCCGCTCCAGCACATCGTGTTCCGATCTCGGCAGAGATAGTTTTGTGTTGTGACTTGCCTACGGTTTGTTTTTTGAGTGGGTGTGTTTATTCCTCTCCTTCTGGAGAAAAATAAAGGGACCAAAAGAAAAAAAAAAATCCCCAACAACCATCTCCTAGCCGGAGCGCGCGCCTACATAGAGCACGCAAGCACGCGTGCACACACGCGCCAGCTAAATCCGAGCCACTTCTGGCCAGAGCCAGGGCGGGTGGGCGGCCGGGCGGGCGCCGGGGAGCCCAGCCTCCGCCCGCGCCGGCGGCGAGTGAGCGGCCAGGACCCAACCAGCTGGTCGGGGCCGGGCGCACGCCAGGCTCACCCGGGTCTCGGAGGGGATCCGGATCCACGTCACATTCATGTAGCTGTGCAGAAGGTTCAGCTTGGCTTCGAGCGACAGGATCAGGCTGGTGAGAGAAGAACACCGAGTGAAACGCGCCGCAGCGGGCCCGCTCTCGCCCGCACGCACCCCGCCCGCACGCCCGCCAGCTGTCCCAGGAGGAGGAAAACGCCGGGAAACCGGGCGACCGCCGCCCTTTAGGGCGTTGGGGGAGGGGCGCGGGGGAGGGGCTCACTGGGCCAGCCGGGCGTTATCGTTGTCGTCTTTCCCCCACTCCCAGTCCTTCCCGGGGTCCACTGCAAAGTGCAGAGGCAGCAGCTTGTGCTCCGAATCCGTCAGGGGGATCACGGCTGGAACAGAAGAGAGAGACGCGGTGCCAGGTGGCCACGGGCGGGCCGAGAGGCTCCAGGCCCCAGCAGCCACCAGGGAGGCCAGGAAAGGGAGTCCCAAGCCCAGGGGTCTCCTAAATTAAGGAAACCGAACGGAGACGAACACAGACCATCTGTGCCAGCAGGAGCGTTAAGACCACAGGTGTCAAAACCACTACTGATAGTTTAGAATACTTGGTATTTAATTGTGGACGTGGAAGAGCGGCTGGAGACATCACCGGCACTCTGCTAACGACTTGGGGCTGTCAGAAGGCAGGTACCGCGGTTGGGCAGCAGACAAAAAAGGCTGTGGCTGTTTCTGTAATTTCGGAGGAAGGACCCAAGCCGGGCTCTTGGTCACCTCACGGTGTGCAAATTAGGCAAGTAAGGGCTGCCTGCCCATCTGCTCCTTTGTGAGCTCATTCAATAATTCTGCATCCGTTCGGGGAGGGGGGGGGTGGGAGCTCCCACAGGGAGCTCATGGGTAACAACAACAAAATCTCATCATCTCAGGTGGTGTTAAGTACCCTGAAAAGTAAACAGCAGACTCGTGGGGAGCTACTGCAAGCCCTTCTAGGGCGGGTCGGGGCGGCTTCCGAGGAAGTAACGTGTAGGCGGGAACTGCAGCGAGGAGAGACCTCACCCAGGGACCCATTCACCACAAACACTCCTGAGGGAAACGCCCACCTGGGGGAAAGTCTTGGCCCATCTCAGAAAGGCTGGGGCGGAGTGGGGTGTTCACAGGGTTTGCCTGGATCTGCTAGAAGCTTCCGAGCTGCTGTGGGACCCAGTGCCCAGTGAGAACAGAACAGCTTGAACAGCTTGCTCCTCCCCTGGGTTTACCCTACCTCCGCCTCCTCACTCTGCCCCTCCCTCCTCCCCCGCCCCCTCCCGCCCCTTGGTGGCCATGAGCCTGGTGTCATTTCCCATGATTCATGGCAAGGGTGTCACGGCAAGAACAAAAAGGCAAATAGGTAAATAAAATCTATGACTGAATACCATTAAAAGTGGACTTTCTAATAAAAAATTGCAAACGCCCACTCACTGCTGCCCTCCAGTGTTGCTAAGGAGAAAAATGAGCACAAATAATCCTCTACTCCCATATAAAGGAAACACTACTTTGCTGGGGCGGGGGGTGGTGTTTCTGTTTAAAGTGGCTGGGGACTGGCAGTACTGTGCTCTGCTTTGGTTGGTCAAGGGCAACTGGGTTCTGTCTTGACATGGCCATCCCCTCCCAGGGCTGAGCTGCAGAGTAGTCACACTCAGGGAGGAGGGCTGCAGGGCTGGTTCAGGACCTGCCTCCATTGGGCCATGCCCAGAAGCCTGTCCGACAATTCCACAACCCAACACAAAGGCAGAGAGAGAGTTGGCCTGGCTTCCCATCCACTGGGAAGGGGTGGGGATGGCAGTGGATCCTTCTGTTGACACTTGCTAGGGCAGCACAGCTCCCTGGGGTGCTTGATAAAGCACTGATTCCAGGCCCCCATCCAGATGGCCAAACAAGAGTGTCCAGGAAAAGGAGCCAAGGACTATATTTTAATTAAGCATCCTCTGTAGTTTTTAAAATCATGCAAATTTGGAAAATATTGTCCTAGAGCAGTTATCTGTTTGAAGTAATGACTGTGGGTACAACTTGGGCAATTTGGGAATGGCTGTCCACTCCCTTCCCAGGGGAGGGGTGCTATTGGGAGGTGTCTGCCCAGCACGGCTACACTCCCCAGCCCCCAGCACTTAACAGGTGCCTGGCTGCACGGAGGGCATGAGAGCAGAAGCACCGTGGGAGTTGCTGGGCAGTGTGGTTAGGTGTGGGCAGCCTTCTCCCCACACCCCTCCCCATCCTCCTGTATGCTGAAAAGATGGCAGGGGTGAGCTTCTGACTCCCCCAGTTGGAGAAGATCTGCTTGCCAATCAGGAACACCTGTTTTAGACTTTATTTGCATGAGAACCAAACTTTTCTCACTATGATTTTGGTTTGTTTGTTCCAGGTAAACCAACTAAAGTAGTACAGATCTACATGCCCCTCAGCCTCAACTCCCTACCATGGGGCTCCTGGGAATTTTTATCCTCAATGGTTGGATTGGAACTGACTCCCTGGGCTGCCCCCTGCTGAGCAGAAGGTTGGACTCATCTGAAGTTGCTAGAGCCTGACCACCTAGCAGGGTCTTGGCAGCCTCTCAGCATGAATATTAGTGGGGTAGGGGTCAGGTACTTGGAGAGGTTCTTGGGACATTGCAACACAAAAGGCATCTTCTCTGCAGAGGGTACAGCTATGTGGGCGAGGGCCAGGGCTGGAGGGACCGAGAGCCCAATCCATAGCTGAACAGTCCAGGAAGGCCTTGAGAACAGGCCCTACCTGCAAGCATTAGCTGCTTTGGATGCCTCTGCTTCCCACTTTACACATTGACTTTTCCCAATTGGAAACCTGGCCTCACCCTGTGAGACATGTAATGATGTGACGGCTTGCCCTCTGGTGGCAATGTCAGGAACAGCAAGTGCTTTTCAAAATAAGCCTGCAAATTCTTTCTTTCCTTGAAAATGATCTCCTATCTTTTAACCTGAAAACATACAGACACCATCTCAAACCAGCCTGGACACACTTTCAGTACTTATTTTCCAAAAATGAATGGACATTTCTGGTTTCTGTTTCCAGGAGAGTGTGGTGCTATCATTACAACAATAACAACAAGCTAGACAAACTGCAGATACACAACTTTCCTTTAACCCATTAGAGAGCAGAAGTCACATGGCAACTAGCTAACCCCAAATCTAAGGACAGCTGGGTGCATAAAGGAGAAATGGACATGACTTCCACTGGGGCAGATTCAGCTGGACTGCAGTAAAAAGAATTCAGCTAAAAATGGTTAATAAATTGGTAAAGGAAGAATGTAGCCTAGTGAAAGAATATTTAGAACCCTGGGGGTTACAGATATAAGGGAAATTCAAATGTACTTGTAGACCCCTTTCCATGGGACCCAACCTGGTGCTCATAAGGTTGGCAAGAATTCGGAGAAAGTGTCCTTCATAGATCTTTCTCTCCTATCTATACTAAAGAACAAAAGCTTAAGTTGGGAGGGCAGGGCAACAAACACTGTTGGCCTTAGGGCACTGGGGTCTTTCCCCAGTAAAGCTAGAGGTGGAAGGAGGAAATAAGAAAAAAATAAAAAAACCCTTTTTTTCCCTGGGGGAGGGGCAGGAACACATGCTGAGCCCAGAACTACAGCTGGCGGAGGTCACTCCCTTTTCAAGATCCAAGGACACAATACCTTTCTAAGACAGAAGCTTAATTAGAATAACAAAAACATCACCCTTCCTGCTCCCATTTTCACAGCCAGGCTAACAAGCTGCAAGTAATGCGGAAGAGGGACAAGAATTTGAAGAAAGGGTGAAGCAGACAGCGAGAAAAACCTTCTGGCAAAATACAACATATCACTAGTGAAATCTGAAGGCTGAGTGCACTAAGGGTAACCAAAGCAGCAATGAAACCAAAACCAACCTCAAGTCCTGACTGGACTGATGTAAACCCCACACTAAAGACCTAGCAAAAGGTAAGGCACACTTAGTTCCAAGAATCAAAACGATGTACCTCAGTCTTTACTGTCCTACTCAAGATGTCTGGCTTTCAACAGAAAACTGCTAGCATAAGAAAAGACAAGAACCTCCCCTCCCCCAACATGTTGACAAGAGACAAAGCATTTGACAGAACCAGACTCAGATATGACACAGGTATTGAAACTCTCAGACATGGAATTTAGAATAATTGATTAATAAGTTGAATACTCTAATAGAAAAGGGGGATACCATGCAAGACTTAATGATTAATTTCTCTCCAGCAGAGAGAATCAATTTACAAGAAAGAATCAAATGGAAATACTAGAAATGAAAAAACACAGTAAGAGAGATGAAGAATGACTTCAAGGGACTGATCAGTACACTTTACACAACTGAGAAAAGAGTCTGTGAACATCAAGATGGGTCAATAGAAGTTACCCAAATTGAAACACAGAAAGAAAAAAAAAGAGTTGGGCGGGGGAAGACACAACAGAATACCCAAGACGTGTAGGGCAATACCAGACAGCCTAAGATCTGTGTAAGTACAATCCCAGAGAGAACCCAAGACAAGGGATATTTAAAGAAATAATGGCTGACAAACATTTCCACTGTGAATGACAAATACCACCATAGAGCCAAGAAGCTAAGGAAAAACCAAGCAGGAAAACAATACCACCACCAGCACCACCAAAAATATCCCTATACTTAGCATATTTAAACTGTTTAAAACCCAAGGCAAAAATCATAAAGGCAGCAAGAGGAAAAAGACACATTACATACAAACAAAGATAAGAAACACAGCAGACTTTTCATGATAAAACAGGTAAGCCAGAAGATATTAGAGTGACATCTTTAAAGCACTGAAATAAAAAACTGCTAATCCATAATTCTATACCCAGAAAAAATATCTCTGAAACATGAAGGAGACATACTTTCTCAAACAAAAATAAAAAAATTAATTGCCTACAGAACTGCACTAAAAAAAATGTATATATATTGCACTAGGAAATATTAAAAGAAATTGGAAATTGTTTAAGGGGAAGGAATATGCTACCAGTAGAAACTTGGATTTTACATAACAAAATGAAAAGTAAAAGAAGTGGAATAAATGATATGAAAATAAAATTCATTTTTCTTCCTTTCAATTGTTCTAAGAGACTAAGGTAAAGAGAGATGCAGTGTATTATGTATTTATAGCATATGTAAAAGTAAAATGCTTGATGGTAATGGCACAAAGGATGGGAGGAAGGGATTGGGAATAAACTGTCATAAGATCCTTATACAATACATGAAGTAGGATATTACTTGAAAATAGAACCTAATTAATTAAAGATATTTATTGTAAACTCTAGGGAAATCACTAATAATGAAAAATAGAGGCATAGTAAGTCAATAGTGGAGATAAAAAGGAGCCATTAAGAAACTCATTTAAC